TGATCAGGAAATGAACAATTCCATTTTGTGAAATATTTCAAGGTTTCAGAATGTGTTTTCTTTCTGCACTGAAACAGAAAGCTGCATCATTTTTTTCCAGCAAATTCGAGAGACTTTGTTAACTTTGTTAACCAGAAAAAAATGCTTGATTTTTTGTATCAGCTCTAGCACTTACAGCACCTTGACTGCAGAAATAGATGAAAGTTCACCATTCATTATCTTATAAAATGTATAATATGAGCTGCTTAAAAATGTCTCATGGAAATGTCAAAATATATTAACAGATCTAAACAGCAGTTCAAACATCATATTACCCAACACACTTCCTTATAAGTATTCTCTGTTCTTATACACAGCTATATATTAATTGCCAGCTCAGAAATGGTAAAAAAATCATCTTTATTATACCCTTAGAACAGGCCACATACCCCATAATCAACAGAGAACACAATTAGGGTGCAACATTCACTCTATTCCTGGTATTTGGCTTTCTTGCTACCATGCAAACAGCTATACTACATAAACCTTGATCCAAGCTTCTTTCCTAATTTGTGTTCTTTTTCTTCTGAACCTCTTTGTCTTATTCTCCTTTTGCCCCCCCCCCCAAACCCTTTATGTCCTCCACGAGTCTTAATGTACAATTTAGCAGCTAAATCAAGAGTGGTGCATCAAAAGAGTCCTGCATTCCTATACAAGGTCGTAGCATCTGCTACTTCGATAGAGACCCCAGGCACCGTGTCAGTACAAACACTGCCATTTAGCCTATGTGCATACAATCAGAAAATTATCACTTGCTTGAGTTGATGGTTTAAATTATAAGATGATGAAAAACAGAGTTTAACGGCTTTTACTCCATCCCTCCTGCCTTCCTTTTAGCTCCTATTCTACTTTTATATGCGAGGCAGAATATTACCATAACACCATTAATTCTGTAACAGGAAGATGCTCAGTGTCCCTCTGCTATAGCATTCCCTTACCACTTGAGCCATGGAGATTGGTAATGACCCTTTTACAAAGTTTACTGTGATAGACAATGGCCCTGCAAAATTGGTTGAGGGTGGGGAAAGGGAGAGTCCAATAAAGACAACTGTATATTTTTTTCCTTTCTTTTTCCATGCACACAAGTTACTTTGGTGAGTTGCACTGTTATGATGCAGTCTGCATTTTTGCAGACACCTGCCATACTAAATAGCATCACAACTGAAGCAACTTGTAAATTAAAAACCTTCTGCAAATCCAACTCACTTAGACAAGCTCCCAATATTTCAATACAGATATTTAAAATCTTTAAGATATTATTTATACTTATGCATAAACAAAAACACAAAAATTCTTTCCAACATCAAAAAGGAAAGTTTAGGAGATCCAGTTAGAGTAAATTTTACAACAATTCTGTACTTGAACCTTAATTACTTTGAAGACATGAAGACAAAATGGTTTTGGTCCACTGACTTTATAAGGGTTTTGTTTTAATGCTGTGATCCTACGGAATAACAGATGAAACTCACTGGTGAAAATTGAAGTGCAAAATAGTTTTGTAAGTGCACATCACGCCACGCCCTGCCCTCCCGGGCAAAAAAAAATTCTAGTGAATAAGTAGGCAAGGTAGACTGCTCTAATTGTAGTAACTGTGGTTTTACCAATGACAACACCTACCTTTTAAGACTGCAAATAAAATACAAATAATGAAGTATTAAAATTAGGAAATAAAAAGAAACTTATTTCTTCTCTCTCAGCTATTACAGAGAAAGACAATTTAGAACTTCTTGTTTCCGGCATCTGTGTCACATCCTGTATTATTACACAAACAATCTCATTCTTTTCTAACTCATAGATTAAAACTCTCAGGATATGTGATTGTTCTCAATCCTGTGTTTACCAGCATAAATATCATTTTTCCCTTCTTAGTTTAGCATTGTCTATAATGCACCATGACATAAAAAATAACAGAGCACATCAGATTTTAAAGTAACAGTTACCTCATTGTTTTTGTTTTGTTTTTCATTCAAAACTTCCTACATTATAGTGTGCTTTGGTTTCTCTTTTGTCCCCCAGCCTCTGATGTTTTTATGCAAGGAAAATAAGTATAATAATATTCAACTTTGAAAGAAGTAAAATGTACTTTTAACCATCCAGAGCAACAAACGATTGCCAGGGAAATAAAAATAAAATCAGCTGAACTTCTGATCCACTTAGATATAAATTTTGGTTTGAGTGGATAAACACAAGTAAATATAAACCAAGAGGCAGAGGGAATTTTTTCACTCAAGTCATTGTTTCCACATGGAACAAAAAGTTCTGTTTTTCTGGTTATAGACTTTTCCTGTGTTTCTAAGAGTAGTGCCCAGAAAGTTGTATTATTCTCAGGAAAACAATTTTACTTTCTTAGTGAAAAATCCTGCACTGCCTTTTCAGGCAAAACCACCACTGCAGTAAAATGGATTTTTCCTGAATAAGGATCGCAGGATTTAATAATAGTTGTCCTATGAACAAGGGACAAATTCTGCCACCCTTGCTCACACTGAGTAGCTCCTTACTCTGCAACAAACCCCATTGAGTTTAATGGGGTTACTGACTGTGTAAGGCACTACTCATCATGAGCAATGGTATCAGAATCCAGTCTTCAGTGTTTACTCAAAATTCTCATTGAAGTCAATGAAATGTTGCCTTGGTAAAGACTGATTGAACACTGAATTAAAATTTCAGGATCAACCCAATATTATCTTCTGGTTACATAGTACCTTTCATATGAGGAACTGAAATTGCTTCACAAGCAATTTTTGAAGCCTCACACCACATCTGAGGTAGATATTGGTCTTCAGCAGGTGAAAACTAAGGAAGTTTTGCTTATGGTTACACAGGAAATCAATGTCAGAGCCTGGACAGGTCTCCTGATTCCCAAACCTAAATCAAATCAATAGATAAGGATAACTTACATTTGGCCTTTAGCTCTGATTTCTCTATTTCCTCTTTCTTCTCCAGGGCTACCAATGTAATTTCAGTTTTTTGTCTAAATCAGGTACAGTTTTCTTTATCACATCAGTATGGTGTGGGTGAGTTCAGAGCATCATATTTCATTGAAGAACTATGGGCATTGTTTCTTGGTTTGGCTAAACAGAAGGCACTAATGGTTTTCATAACTGAAAATTCAACACAGTTCCATTTTTTCTTGCATTGAAGATAACAGGAAAAAATAGACACAAAAGTGAGAGGATAAAAACCAAAGACACCATTTGTGTAAGATTTTGACAGAACACAGATGTACACATCATTGTTGGCCATTTCTTTTGGTTCCTTAATGTCACTGTAAAAGTTATTTTTGTGACTAAAATAATGGAACATGCTTATGATGATTTTGAAAAAAGTACAACTCCAATTTAACGGACGTGGGCTCTAATAGTAGAAACCCTACATTCAGAATCTCCTAAGTGACGCCTATCTCTGTAATAGATTACGCCAAAACTCCAAAATTTTGATGTTGCAGGATCAGGATATATATTTGTAAAACAAAATTAGCAGAGCCATTTTGCACACATTTAGTATTTTCTATTTTCTGGTTTCCTTTCAATAGGCTGGAAAGTAGTATAATTTATGGCAGTTTTGCACATCACAAAGGACATTCAACATCAATGAAATCACCTTTGGGGGGCAACTTTAAATTTTAGAATGTCCTGGCTTTCAAACACCTTAACATTGAAGCACTGCTACTTATTGTAATCTGTGCACTGACCACACAGACACACACTTCTGACTATTTGAATTTTATTGGTATTTCATCAGCTTCAGGGTAGATCACTACAAAAAGATATCAATTTACAACTTGATCATTTTAATATTTTTTCTGACATTAATTATTTATCAAAAATATGTGATGATCTAGGGACCAATTCTGCATCCCTTTGCTTCAAATAGACTTCAATAGACAGAGGATGAGGTACACAAGGAATACAGGTTTAGTGTCCAAGAGGTTAAATAATATAGTGAAAACTACGTAAGCAAAAACTCCAAGACTAACAAAAGTAGTCTAATAATTGAAGTAGTCTAATAAAAAAAATCAGAATTTCAGTTGATATATTTGTGAGTTCTTTGTTGCAGGAATTTGTATAAATTAGTGTCTTGTAAAGTTTTCATTGTATAATTTTATGACTTCAAGACAAAGATTAAGAAGAAAAAATTCAAGCCCTTATCAAGGATGACAGCCAAAATCAACTGTCACGACTAGTACTGAATCTCCTTTATTCTTATCACACATCAATATGCAAATAGCTTGCTAATGCCTTGACTCAACTCATCTTTAAAAGTCATATGAAAAGCGTATAAGTCTTCAGCAATCCAGGTGGAGGCAAAAATTGTCAGTATTTGCTTTGTGTATTAATCTATTCATTCACAATTGAGTGGGCCTCTACTAAGTCATGTCACATCGTTTATTATTTCTAGTTGTATTGAATTTAATGTACTTGACTCTATTCCTTGATTTACAGAATTGCATGACGTAAGCCAAAGTCACCTGAACAGCATATCTAAAAATTCTATTCTAGAAGGTCTACAATCACTAAACAATACAGCCACAAATACAAGCTAATATTACAATTGCAATAATGCTATTCCAAAAAAATCCACCCAAATAAAACACTGCCCTGGCCCCGAAAGGACAGATTAGATTCTCTTCAATTGAGAACAACTAAAAACAAATACAAAAAACCCCTCTCCTTTTAGAAAATAAGTCATCCGATTTTCTATATGACTTCAATTAATCGATAGCCTGCTGCATTTTTTCAGTCAAAGGAATGTAGCAGAAAGCTGTCCATAGATATCTATAGAAGTTGCAGAGTTAAAAATATTCCATTTTGTTGCTGACTTTGAAACCCTATTAACCACTGTGTCCAGAAAGGAATAAAACAACTTCTTACTGTATATTTTCCAAGTCACAAACATGCTTTACATACAAATTTGTAACCACAACACCAAACCTAATGGAAAAAGGGAGAAAATCTACTTACCTGAGCCCCTTTTGGTCACAACCTTCAAGCTCTGAGTAAGAGTAGCATACAAGAGAATCAAGTGTGGAATAGGAGCTTTCATCTTCCAGCTCTTAAAGGCTGCTCCCTAAAGCACCAAAAATAAAAATAAAAAATATCCTGTAAGAATATTAAAAAGCTTCATTTTTATGTTTTTGCTGAAATACATTTTTAGTAATTAAATCATAAAAAAGAATTTGTAGAAGAGTCACCTCCGTTCAACTCGTGCTAACATGCTGGGCTAGCACCAAAGACAATTTAAAAAAACAGATCTGAAGTCACCATAGAGCACTGTAATACCAGGAAGATTATTTCTTTTTTCTTTTTCTTTCTTTTAGGTTTAGCTCTGGAGCCTCAATACCACTGTAAGGGGAAAGATTTGTAATTTTCTCCATAGCTGAAAATGCACTACATGGATCAATGTACCTATTAAAACCTTCTGACCAAATTACATGCTGGGTAATAGTTAGCTATGTGCATACTTGTATAATGCCACTACTTTCAATAGGAGTCAGGAGTGCAAAGGATTGCAGGGTTTACCTTCAATGTAGTCACTATTCATCTCCTAGAGATCCACATTACAGGGGTTTTCCAGCTAATGGTTCATTCCTCACCTGTATGAAGTGCGTATGGGTTTGTACTCCCGTTATTCCTGGACCCCACAGAACATGCTCGGGGGGGTGAGCAATATTTTCATGAAGGACAGATGGGATTGGGAGACCCAGTGCACTGTTCATTTTATTTTAAAAGATAAATGTATATTTTTGCAGGCCCTGCCATATTCAAAAGCAGCCAACAGTATTTTGGTCAAACTTTTCAGGTCCAACTCCTTGTAAACCAGTGTGGAATTCAATGGTTACCATCATTTTGGGCACTTACCTTCTCATGGAGTGAATGTGGGTGCCCTCAGTGGGTTGACCCTCATAAGGGCAGGCATTAGCACTGAGATAGAGGGTACCAATATGGATCCAACAGATCTTAGGACCACCTCCACTATTTTTTAACAATAGGATGAAGACCAAATCTCACCCCTACTCAACACCACCTATCTGTATACATGCCATGAGGAGCACAATACACAGCTTGTCAGTTCAGGGGAAAGATTGGCACTGGGGAGGGGCACTTTAATGATATAAAGGAAGGCCCCATCCTTGTTTCTGTTGAAATCAATAGGATTTTGTATTGAACCTAAAGAGTAATGTTTTCAAAAGTGCCTAAATGTTTTAGAAGCCCACTTTCAGAAGTTATACTGAATGGCACTGACTTTCAGTGAGACTTAGGTCCCTAAATGCCTAAGTCTCTTTTGAAAATGGGATTTGGGCTCCTAAGTCAGTCACTTGGGTGCTTTTGAAAATGTTAGCCTAAATGTCATTATTGTCTTAAAGCAGGTGGGAAAAACAGATAAGAAATGGGGTAGATGTAGCATAGCATATAGAAAGGCAGAATTTCTTAGATAAAGACTGCAGAACCTCACTGAAAATGTCACTGTCAATTCTTGTATAGTACAGTTTTACTTTTCAAGACATTTGGGAACTAAGAGCATCAAACCTGCAACAGCTATGATTATGATTTTATTAGAGATGAGAAAGCAGGAAAATGTGGCTTGACAGTCATTTTTTGTGCCATCTCAGAAACGTAATGCTTATATATTTATTATACAATTATGTCACATATTAATTCATTCACTTGCTCAGAACCAATTCTACTGGATTTGCATTCTCAGGTGGGGGAAGGCCATCTATCATTAATCAGCAGAAGTCACCAACAACTTAGAAAGAGAAGGTATAAAAATGAGAAAAAAGATGTCAAATTAACTAGCCGAGTGAAGAACTAAATGATAAAGCTGTCTGGATTTCTGTGAAAAACATTCAGCCTAATGCTAACTCTCAGCCACAGTTTTAGTTTTCTAACACATGATTTTTGGTATTTAGAATTTTTTAAAAGGTATAAATGAAGGCTAATTACCCAGGGGTGAACCAGAACAGATACATTGAAAGCACTGTGCCACATTGCACAGCAGGCCTGAGTCAAACATTTCTGAAACCAAAATTCCATTTCTCAGTCACTGCACTAACTGATGCTGCAGGAAATCCTGAAGCTGATATCTTCAGCCTCCAGGGTACCAGCAAGAGTCAGCTCCTCGCTCTGTGTGAGCCTAATAAATGCTGTCCAAAGAACTACAGGATTTTACTATGTACTGCAAGATCACCAAATAAATTCTGGCTGTGAACACAGATCCAAGTACATTTTTCTTATGGCCATATGGCTGAAGAGAACATTTCTTATGTAAAAGAAAGTGTAAATAAATATATATATTCATAACAGATTCATGAAATAATTTTAAAGTTTGTATCTAAGAAGACATTGGTAAATATAACAACATGAATGTGTGAGGGACTCAGTGGATCAAATTCCTCTTCTAACTTTGGCCTATTAATGTTTTGAAGTAAACAAATAATAAAATTTCACAATCATTCAAAATCTTTCATCTGAATATTTCTAAGCTTATCTGAAATATTTGTTAACCCTCAAAAGACAGCTGTGACCCAGGTCCTAGCAAGTTTTATAGTAGATGCTTGGTAGCATCACCAGTATAATTAAACCTGCAACACAATTTCAGTTACAAGACTTGTTTTCCACACACTGATCTCTGTCAAAAGCATCACCTTGTGAAATTTCCCATACAAAGCATCTGCCTGAAAAGTTTGACCAAAATATTGTCGGCTGCTTTTGAATATGGCAGCGGCTGCAAAAGTATACATTTATCTTTAAAATAATTCACCACATATTTTCAGAAGAGAGTAGAGCATACATAACCAAACTCTGAAACTAGAAATTTGGCATGCACATGTCCACCATTGACGACAAGGCCTTTGCTTGCTCTGGGTGGAAAAGGCTTTGATTTAACAAAAAGCTGGTCATTCAAAAACAGCTTGCTTGAGCATGTGCAGTAGTACATTCTGCTAAGTCCACAGGTGACTATATATGAACATGTGCATACTTGGTGGTGGTTCAGAGAACTTCCATGCCAAAAAGGTGCAAGGTGAATAGCTTCAGAGGAAGGAAAAATAACTCATTGGAAGAGTCAGCGGAATTTGTAAGCTGTATGACCACCAGATTCTTCTTTTAACTCTCTCTCTCTCTCTCTCTCTTTTAAGAAAAGTGGAAATAACTAGCATTAATGGAATGTTAATATTTAAGAATAACCACTTCAAAAATCAGGAAATTCCAAAAGTTACGTTAGTGCCTTGTATATATTGCACATATGGTGTATTTTCTCTTCTTTACCTTGTTGCTGTTTGGGAATTTCTCAGTGTTTCATTGAAAATTACCAATTTGTCAAAATTGAAGGGTTCTGTGGAAATGTATCAATTTTGACTAGAGATGGGAAAATTTTTTTGAAGAATATTTTATTGGCTGAAAAAGGTAGTTTTGGGTCATCCACTACTATTTGTGAATTTGACATGAACTCACTATATAGTTTTGGCCAAAAAAGCATTTTTTTAAGACTTAGATACAAAAGGACTATGAATTGCAGCTATGGATGACAATAGTCAGTAAGCCAAAGAAAGGGAGTAAGAATGATTCTATAACCTGGTGGTTAAGACATTCACCTCGGATGTGGGAGATCTAAGTTAAATAGTAATTGGAACATGGAGTTAAACAATTTTTACAGAGTGGAACAGCTCCAACAGGCGATCTTGAGAATAACCTGCTGTCATAAATATAAAGGGAAGGGTAAACACCTTTAAAATCCCTCCTGGCCAGAGGAAAAACCTTTTCACCTGTAAAGGGTTAAGAAGCTAGGATAACCTCGCTGGCACCTGACCAAAATGACCAATGAGGAGACAAGATACTTTCGAAGCTGGAGGGTGGGAGGGAGAGAAACAAATGTTCTCTCTGTCTGTGTTATGCTTTTGCCGGGAACAGAAAGGAATGGAGTCTTAGAACTTAGTAAGTAATCTAGCTAGATTTGCATTAGATTCTGTTTTGTTTAAATGGCTGATAAAATAAGCTGTGCTGAATGGAATGTATATTCCTGTTTTTGTGTCTTATTGTAACTTAAGGTTTTGCCTAGAGGGATTCTCTATGTTTTGAATCTGAATACCCTGTAAGGTATTTACCATCCTGATTTTACAGAGGAGATTCTTTTACTTTTTCTTCTATTAAAATTCTTCTTTTAAGAACCTGATTGCTTTCTTAATTGTTCTTAAGATCCAAGGGTTTGGGTCTGTGTTCACCTATGCAAATTGGTGAGGATTTTTATCAAGCCTTCCCCAGGAAAGGGGGTGTAGGGTTGGGGGAGGATTTTGGGGGGAAAGACGTTTCCAAGTGGTCTCTTTCCCGATTATATATTTGTTAGACGCTTGGTGGTGGCAGCAAAAAAAGTCCAAGGGCAAAAGATAAAATAGTTTGTACCTTGGGGAAGTTTTAAGCTAAGCTGGTAAAAATAAGCTTTGGGGGGTTTCATGCAGGTCCCCACATCTTTAGCCTAGAGTTCAGAGTGGGGAAGGAACCTTGACACCTGCACTAGCATGTCCCATAGCCTAATGGTTAGGGCACTCGCCTGCAATGTAGAACACACAAGTTCAAATCACTTCTCCAAGTAAGGGGGGAGGGAATTAAACCTGGGATCTTCAACAGCCTAAGTAAACACATAGCCATTAGCTCTACAGCCACAACTGTTTTGTGAATTTAATTATTTTAAAAGGTCAAGCATTTTGTTTTGGGTTGAGCAACATATTCCATTCAACCTGAAATAGATTTTGTCAATCTGATGAAATTTTTCACAATTTTTGGATTCGGTTCATCTTGCACCAATTTTTCATGTTGAGAATGGAATTTCTGGTCAACACCAGAAAGAGAAACAGCCAGAAAGATACCTTACTCAGAATAACCTATTGCCCAGTGGTTAGGACACTCACCTGGGATGTGAGAGATTCAGCTTCACAGTAATGCTCTGCCTGATCTGGAGTAGGGGACTTGAACCTGAGGAGTACTCTAGGCACCAGGCTATTGTCTAGTCTGGGGAGAGTCTCTGATCATTTTTTCATGAAAGCCTTCAAAAGGTCTCAGTTTAGTTATGGT